TTCTGCTTCCCTGAGGGTCTTGCTGACATAGAAGATGGCATGCTGGACGCCATCTTCTTCCCAGATGAGTACTGAGCTGATGGTCGTCGGGCTAACACCAAGGTAAAGGTATAGGGTTTCCCCTACCTTGGGTTTGGAGAGCACAGTGGGTGAAGATAAATACTGTTTCAGTTCGTCGAAAGCCTCCTGGCATTCTTAAGTCCATTGGAAGCCGGTGGTTTTCCTCTTGATCTAGAAGAATGGTAAGGACTTCTCCGCCGATTTCGACAGGAAGCGGTTGAGGGCTGCCAGGCGGCCCGTCAACCGTTGGACCTCCTTCACGTTGCGCGGGGGCTCCATGTTGATGATGGCCTGAATTTTCTCGGGGTTGGCCTCGATACCCCTTCGGCTCACCATGTAGCCTAAAAATTTGCCTCCTTGCACGCCGAAGGTGCACTTCTTCGGGTTTAGTCGAAGGTTGAACTTCTGCATGATGGCGAAGATCTCCCTGAGGTCGTCAGCATGGCTTGTTGATTGCTTGCTTTTGACGATCATGTCGTCAACATATGCCTTCATGGTGCGCCCCAGGACGGCCTGAAATACCTTGGCCACCATCCGGGTGTAAGTGGCACATGAGTTTTTCAGGCCGAAGGCCATGACAAGGTAGCAGAAGATGCCCTCGAGAGTCATGAAGGATGTTTTTTCGGCGTCTTCCTCGTGCATGAAAATTTGGTGGTGCCCTCGGAAGGCATCGAGGAAGGACATGATCTCGCACCCCGCGGTCTCATCCACCAGTTGATCAATGTTTGGCAAGGGGAAGAGGTCCATAGGGCATGCCTTATTCAGATCCGTGTAATCCACGCACATGGGGAAGGTGGGAGGCTTATGTGAGAGGACTACATTTGCTAGCCATGAGGGGTATTTTACCTCCTTGATGTGCTTGATATAAAGGAGCATGGTGACCTCCTTCTTCACAAATTCCCTCCTCTCGGTCGAGAGGGGCCTTCTTCGCTGTTGTACAGGTTTGGCCGAAGGGTCCACCGAGAGGCGGTGGGTGATGACCCTTCGGCTGATCCCCGGCATATCCTCCGGCCCCCATGCAAAAACAATGGAGTGGGCGCGGAGAGCCTCGGTGATGCCGGTCTTCAAATCTTCGGGGAGCTGGGCTCCAATCTTCACAACTCTCTCCGGCTTGGCCGGATCGAGCACGAAGTCTTCTACGTCCCCGGCTGGTTCAGCCCTCGGTCTCTTTTCTTCCTCTTTGACGGTTCCGGTTCCGGTGTCAACGCGGAATTCCGTCTTGCTTACCTTCTTCGTTACTTGAAGGTAACAGGCGCGAGCGAGTTTTTGATTTCCCCTTGAGTAGCCGATGCCCCCTCGGCTAGGAACTTGAGGCAAAGGTGCCTCATGGAGATGATGGCTTCGAGATCCTCGAGGGCTGGTCGTCCGAGGATGATGTTGTGGACGCAATCGATGTTGACGACGACGAACTCTACTTCGAGCTTGGCTCTATGGAGTTCGTCGCCAAATAGTACTGGGAGGGTTATGACCCCTTCAGAATCAATGGTGTCACCGGTGAAGCCGACAAGAGGGGTCTTGATTGGCCGAAGGGACCCCCTCTCCAGATGCAGCTCTCTGAAGGTGATGAGGTACATTACATTGACGGAGTTGCGCCTGTCAACGTAAGTTCTTTGGATGATAGTATCATTGATCTCCGTACGGATGACGAGGGCATCCCTGTGCGGAGAGGAAGCAGAGGGGAGATTGGCGTTCGTGAATGTGATGGGCTCCTCCCTTAGCCGCTTTACCGGGGGCATATGAGTGGCTTCCCCCACGTATAGCGATTGAGCCCACTTCTTCCGTTGGCTGGTGGAGTCCCCCCTGTATTGCCACCGGTGATCATGAGGATGTGGCGCTTCTTCTCCGGACCGTGGGGGCACTCTTCTTCTTCCTCTTTCAAATTCCCGATCTCCTTCTTCCTGTCAAGGGGGATGGTGTTTGGGTTAACCCAAGCGTTTGCTTTCGCTGGGCGCCCTCAGGGTGGCCCTTGGTAGGGAGGACCCTGTTGCTGAGGGCCTTGGACAAACTGGGACAGATGCCCCGCCTGTATTAACCTCTCGATGGTTGTCTTCAGCTGATGGCAGTCATCGGTTTTGTGCCCTTGATGTCGGTGGAAGCGACAGTAGGGGTCGTTTGGATTGATGGCATATACCTCCGGGGGTGCGCGAGAATCTCGCTCCACCAGGCCCCTCTCCTCAGCGAAGTCGAGGATGACGCTGACGGGGTGCGTCAAAGGTGTCCGAGGGTGCTCCAGGAGAACAGGCTGCGCCCAAGTCTTCGGGTTACCCTTGTAACCTCCCCCGGGCTTGGCTTGGCCGTGCCAGGGGCGATCACCAGGGGGTGCCGAACCCTTGGGTTGATAATGAGGAGCCCCCGGCCCCCGTTTGCCTTTATCATCTGGCCGAGGGCGTTGCTGATCGGGGTTGTGATGGCATTTTTCCACCTCCTCGGCCTCGGCGTATCGGTCCCCCCGCTGTAGGGCCCTTATGTAATCGCGGGGGGGGGGGGGGGGGTCGATGATGAGGCTCCTTGAGAAGTTTCCGGGGCGCAGCACTGTTTGGAGGAGGGCCAGGAGGGTCCCGTCGTTTGCGCCATCAACTTTATCAGCCTCCGTTCTCCAGCGCTCCAAGAAGTCCCGAAGGGTCTCCTCTTTCCTTTGTCTCACCGTCAGCAAGTGGGAGAAGTGTTTTCTTGTTCGGCGCTTTCCCGCAAATTGTGTCAAGAATCGCTGGGCGAGTTCTTGCCACGAGTCGATGCAGCCTCCGGGCAATCGGTTGAACCATTCGTAAGTCGGCCCCTCCAAGGTGGAGAGGAACCAGTGGCACAAATACTCATATGATGCCCCCACCATCATCATACTGTTTTGGTACCTGCTGTAGTGCTCTTGGGGGTCAGTTTTTCCATCGTAGGGCTTGATGAGTTGCCCTCGGTATTTTTCCGGGATCCGGGCTGCCAATACCCTTGGGGTAAATGGTGTCTGGGTCCGGAGTTATATGGTGGGTTCCCCGGAGCCCTCAGCTATCTTCTTCTGGATCTCCTCCATCTTGGGCAACATGAGGGGCAGAAGCGGTGGCGTGCGCTTTGGTGGCCTCCATCTCGTCAAGTAGGCGTTGGAGGGCCGCAATGATTTCGTCCCGGGGGTCCTTCGGGGGGGCCTCCGCCCCCTGCGAACGGACACGGGCCGAGTGGGCCTGGTTGATGTGGTGACGGGCGTCGTCGGCATGGAGTGGTGCCTTGCCTTTGTCCTGAGGGGGACGTCTTTCAGCCGCCCGGGAAACGGGTCCGCCACTTTCCTGAGGCCTTTGGAGCGCCTTCCCCCCTCGGCGGTCTTGGACCCCTCGGCGGTCTTGCGCCCCTCCGAGTCTCTCGTGGCGGTCCCGGGATTGGACTTCCTGGGAGGTCGTGTCTTGGGCCACGACCCCCTCGACGTTCCCAATCCGAGGGACAGGGTTCCCGAGGGGGTGTGGATGAGGGGGAGGCATGATGTTTTCCCCGATCTGAGGTTGAAGAGGAACCAAAGTGCCGAAGGCACCTGGGTTCTGGGTGAGTGTTTGGATAAAGGCGGAAAACGCCGACTGTACGTCGATAGTGATGACCGGAGGGCTGACTTGGTTTTCGCTCTGGTCCTTCTTTTTGGCCTCGATGCTGAGGCGGGCATCGGGGGCATTTTGTTGAATCTGAAGGCGTATGTCGAAAGCCGTCTGATCCAACCCGGTGATGGCGCCGCCCTCGGAAGCCCTGTTAGAGGCCTCGGGGACGTCGACTTCGCCGAGGGCCAGGTTCCTGTCCTCAACGTTCTTGGAGTTGACACGAGTTGTTCTCACCATTTTTTATAGGTGTTTTGTGTTTTTCCGAGGGGGGGGTTTCTCACTTGATTGTTCGACCTCTCAACGAGAGCACCAAATGATGGATAGTCTACCCGGGGGTATGTATCCGAAGGGTTACTGAGGGGAGTAACTAGAGAGAAGTCAGAGCAGGTAAGAGAGAGAAAGTGTATTGAATATATGAGTTCAAAGTGTATTCCGAATCTGGTTTACAAAGGGGAAATGAGGTGCTATTTATAGTAGCAATAAATGCGAGACGAGGACACGTGTCAAGCATCCAACGGCCGAGGGGTCACATCAACCGGGTGTCACTGGCATTCGCGTGTGGCCGCATTTAATGCGGCGGTTGGATGTGACGTTGTACTTGGTACGATGACCCAGGCACATGTGGAGAGAATATTCTTGTCGAGGAAGGTACCCTCGACTGTAGATGATTAGCCGGGGGCTCTTCATGTCGAGAGTCTCCTAGTGCCGAGGCCCGAGGGCTCTAGGTGCCGAGGGCTATTGATTTTCGCCGTTTTTTCCAGTGTCTTCGTATGCCTGAAAAAGCCGTTCTGTGAGTATATGGAGCCTTCGACCCAAGTGCCGAAGGCATCCCCAGTGTGCATTGTTGGTTGTTTGGTACTCGGGGCGCTGTGATTCGGGTCTGTTGTGCTTCCTGGGCCTATTGGGCTTTGATCAGAGTAGTAGGAGTCTTTGGGTCGGGGGTCCCTGGGCCATATACTCCATCAATATGTAAATATACACTACATATATGTTAAATCCATAACCCTACTGAAAGACACTCTTTCAAGGCAAACCCATAAATGAACAATATAAATGCTTTATAGAATTTGATCTTAGTTTACCAAATGCTATATTTCTGCACTTTTTTAAGGAAAGAAACTTAATTAGTATTAATCAAATCATTGTTCAAAATACAATTAAGAAAAACCGGAGGATCATCAAACCAAGTTTGCAAATCAGGTAAAGAACAGGCCGCTCTTGCAAGCTCATGGGCAGCCTTGTTCGCTGATCGCCTCACGTGAGTAAAATTCTGCACTTAAAATCTTAAATGGAGCCACCTGATTTTTTAATCCTAGAAGACTAGAATTGATACAAACGATCGTAAGAAACATATTGAGAAATACTGAATACGCCAAAATCATAATTGGACATATAAGTAAAGGTCTAAATATGAATATCACACCTGGTACAGTTTATTACAGATAGCAGATGTTTAGATTAAAGGCCACCATGGTCGGGTACAATTTTGATAGAAAACTAAAACCAAACTGTGTAGAATGGCGATGCGGTTTGAACTAAAAAATTAAACCGTGGTTTAATGTAGAAAATTGGTCAAGACGATTGGGACACTGAAAACATAAGACAATGACTTGTACTGTTATTTATCATAACAACATGGTGATGTCTTGTTCTCAAGCATCATCAAGAGCTGACAAAGAAGAGATGCAAAAAAGCTGTTGATGCAGGCTGGAGCCAAACTAAAACACAAACAACCAGCTCAGGATTCGGAAGTCTCTCTTTCACTTTAGGGAGAGGCGAAAACACCAACTTCTCCAGAGGAACAGTTCAAAGTTCAAAGAAGCTCATGTCATCATCGTATGCAGGGAAATCCAAAAGAAGATGAAGAGCCAACTCAGACGAATCTTCCAACTCATCGGTCCAAGTCATTTCTTCCAACCCGCTGCCTCCTTTCATTGATGAAGAAGAAGTCTCACATGCCAGACTTCCATTGTCATCAGCAGCTTTCTCCCTTGTGTTGAGCATCCTAAACGACTCTCCAATCTCTGAATTCCACATCCGCATGAAGAAGTCTGTTGCGGGCCCCACAGACTGTGACGGAACCAAAAGCTCTGATGGTTCCTTTGAGAGCCGGGCCTCAGCTTCGACCCTGGCACTCTCCCACTGCACCATGTGCCGAGCAGAGGGGGTCCCAGGTTGCCGCGTAAGCATGTGCTTCTTCAGGTGGGTATTCCACAAGTTCTTGATCTCATTGTCCGTCCTCCCAGGTAAATGGCAGGCGATTGCAGCCCACCTAGGGAACAAAGTGAGTTGTTTTAGTGTCATCATCACTAAATAAATGGTGTCTGTTAAAATTTAAGGGGGCGATTTTGAATGAGAAGAAAAAAGGAAAACCTGTTTCCTAGAAGACTGTGTAAATGCACAACAAGCTCCTTTTCCTCCAAAGTAAATGGGCCTCTTTTGATGTCCGGCCTGAGGTAATTCGTCCATCTTAGGCGGCAGCTTTTCCCACAACGCAGAAGACCTTCAAGTGATAACAAGTTCTTTCTAGTAGAAAGAAAATTACAAACCCAAGCCAGGGAATGGGCAAATAGAGCAAATGACCGTTTGCAAACAAAGGAATGTAGAGTCTATTCTATACAGACAGATGCTATGATAGAAATGGGATGAATCCACGCAGAAGAATGACAACCCTGAACAAGGACTGAAGGACTCGATCTTAAACTATTTATGAGCCTTTGGAAGGCTGTGAAATTAAGTTTGTTTCCTCTAATTATCTGTTTCTCTATAGAAAATGATTTCTTATATAGGTAGAGGTAGGGTCATGAAAAAGTTCTAGGGAAATGACATGTTTTGAAAAGATATTCCTTATCGAGTAGATGAATTTGAGGCACCTTTACTTGTACACTTCAAAGGTTATTTTAATTTTTAAGCTTTCATGAGCATTTCTCAAGGGTCATTGGGAATAAATTGAGGAATCAATTCCACTTTTTATCATACAGCTATCACAACATTCCTACTTTTGGTCCTTAAGGTTCATTTTTCACTTTTGATCCCACGACTATAACCTTATTATCACATATGGTCCTTCTGACCACATTTCTTGTAAAACACAATAGGAAATTGACTAGATAAGTGGTTACAAAGACCGTAAGTGACAAAAATGACAAAAAAAAACTATGAGTGAGAACAAAAGCAGAAAAAATGAAAGCCAGGGCCAAAATACAAATAACTTAATAGTCTTGACTCTTGAGACCGAAAGTGGAATCAATTCTTAATTGAGGATTTACAAAAGTTGAAGGAGTAACATGAAAACATGATCAGGTTCAAATCTTGTCAAAATGACAAGCTAAGGGAAGACTTACTCCTTACACACCCTTGTGGTGGGGCCGGGCCCTTCCCGGACGCTTGACTTGTGGGGACACCAATGTGCACCTATTTGTCCTTTTTTACAGGTTAGGCCCTCAGAATTCCTGCCCCTCAATTACTGTACCTCCAAACATACCCTGACCCTGAACCCCCTCACTCCCCCGCATCTATTTGCCTATAGGAAATTAAAGATATCTCTTAAAGGCATCCAAGGAAGAGAGAGAAACAAAACAAAAATTTAGAGACATTCTTATATTTAATTATTTATAGCATAGCACTTAGATCTAGTCTTTTTTCTCTGCCAATACTTGTAAACAAAGGAAAAGATTACCCCAGTGACGCAAAGGCTCCCACCTACAGTGGGGTAAGGGGGTCGAATGTATGCAGTCTTACCTCTGTACTAAAGCACATATAGACCGTTTCCGGATGACCCAAGGGAAAAGATGTAGGTTATAAATTAAATAAAGAAAAATATATAAAACACACAGAAAGAAAAAAACTTCAATATTAACCAAAATTATTCACCTTTTAGGTAATCTGTTTAAGTGAACTGACTTGTTGAAACTTGACACATGCAAGCAGAAACTTTGCTATGATCACTGCTTAATCACTACTTTGAGAGAAAATATTTGGGTATATTAGATTTTGGATATGTAAAAGGAACCTTACCACTTCAATGTGTTTCTAATCATGCAAACTACGTTTCTCATCTGTCACATAACTACAAACCAAAGTTCCAAGCTGCTACACTTTTCTATTAATGAAAGTTTCTATATGGTAGTCATACGTGGATAACAATTCAGACATTCATAGTTTTCTTAACAAACAATATGGAAACTGAGGGGTATAAAAAATGCTTGGATTAAAAAAACAGAACAGAGAACCCAAGGCAACAGAAAAGAAATAGAGTAAAAGAGAAGACCTGCTAGCTTGGGAAGGGAACGCCAGTTACCCTGCCCATTTTTCTTGATGTATTCAATAAGTATTTCATCTTCTTCAGGCGTCCATGGCCCTTTCTTCAGCCCCTTCTTGTCACAGCAGGGTGCTCTCCCCATTTCCACTTCTCCTTCTCTCTCTCTTTCTCTATCTCTACCTCTCTAAATTGACTTGTCTATAGTGATGAACTAAGAAGCAGGCTTTATGCTTTAAAATTAGACTTCGGAAAGACATGGTGAGAGAGAGAGAGTCAAACACAGCGTAGTTGACATGTCAGGTAGAAATAGTACCCACTCCTACCTTCTTCTAGTAGATAATATAGAAGCAGAAATACGACCGACAATTCCTGTGCTGGATTAGCATTTATTGCCATGGTATGATGTATTAATGGCCCTATATACACGTCTCAGGCCATGTGGGTGAATATGAAATTCAAACAATTGCACTTTTATATTTGTACCCAACTAGCCTTATTCCGGAACTAGTTAGGATATGATGTATCATGTATGCAATACAATACACCCAATCCTCAATTCCTCATAGAGATTTTAGCCATACAACATGGCTAGAAGGGACAACTATGTGAAATTATTTGGGTTATGAATGTTATACGTTTCCAAACTGATGACATCTATTTACCTACACAAATCATGCCCCATTTCACTTCCAGCCATTATAAATCCAGTAGCTCTTAAGTGTATTTAACATCTGTTAATTGGTTTCTATTTTCAACTACAGCTTTGTGCTTTGATAAGGAAAAACTCATTTTTATCTCATTAACCAGGAATGGTAGTCCTATTGAGCCCCCCTCAAGCTCTAATTGCGCCAGTTTAGCACACCCAAAGCTAACTTAAGTTCCACTGAGTACTTCTTTACAAGTACCTGAGTCAAAATTTTCATCAATGCAAGACATCACAGAGCATTATGTGATCACATAAGTGAACCCAATTAGAAACACAAAAAAAATCCTGTTATATTTAGTTCTTTCGCCGGGTCATAGCTAATTAGCTAGCCAGCTACGTGACATCCATAATCACGCGCTAAAGACAACTTATAATAAGTATAAAAAAACTACATAAACCTTGATGATTCTCTAGCTTTCTCACTTCTCAGTATGTCGAATTAGGAGTTGAGAGTCTCAATAGGGCTAACATATAAAATTTGGGAGCTTAGATATGTGTTTGCGGCTATTATACATTTATCCCAGTCTCAACTTGCCATGGTCATCAAGTGATCCTGACCAGATATCTCTGGTGTAAAACCTAACCTGCTTAGAAGTTTCCTATGCCAGCTACCCTTGAGCTAATTTTCTATGCCTGGACTTGCAAAAACAAATGTGACGAAGGACCAATTCTGTTATAAAGTTTAGTTTCCACATTAGTCAATCTATTCTCTACAACTCTCTAATGAAAGTTTCAGGACCTAAGACTATTTGAGTGAACAGAACCCTACCATTTTATGAATTCTCGAAATACATGTAGGTGAGCAAATTTACATCCTAGAAAAACTAAAAACAGATAAACTCATCAGACATAGGTGAAGAAGATCCAATTAAAGATAGCAGACTATGAGTAGTACTACGAACTCCGTATTAAATAGCAGAAAAGCTTTTTCCTTTACTTTAAATGCATCGTCCAGATGAATAGGAAGCCATTATAATGGAACGGAGCATTTATTTTTTCAATGCAATGAGATAATAATCTAAGAATTAATGATTTTGTGCTATAAATGGCGATAGCGACTGGGCAATCTTGGCCGCATCGAACTTCGACCATCTCTAGGAGCAAATCACTGTTTGAGTGAGGATGTGTATTTAATACCCGCCCGCCTGCAAACCAGCAAATAGGCATTGATTATATGCACCTGCTATACGAATATAAAGACGAAAAAACACATACGAAATTGAGAGAGAGAAATCGGTAAAGGTACAGTAGATCAAGTGGAGAGGAATTAATGGATGACACATAACAATCATACAATCTCAGCATCAATAAATGCACGCAAAAGAAATCATATGCGGTCAATAACATACAGCACCCCAGAGACCGGTATGAATGCATATGCGTCCAGGAGATGTCGCCGGTGGCGGCCGGCGGCGTGGGGATTTTGGGCGGAGGAGAGGAGAGAGATGCAAACGTATTTCTTTTGCAAGAACAAGTATAGATTAAATTTAATTTGGGGGGTTTGAAATCCGGAAAAAATTAGAACCCCCTCCCTCCCTAATTTGACTTTCACACAGATTAAAAAAGTGAAGTTTACTTCAGGCGACACTGTTTGGCACTGTAGCGACAATGTTTAGCACTGTAACGACACTGTTTGACACTATTTTGCACTGTTTGACACTGTTTTGTATAGATTTGTTTACCAAATAAGGAAATGAGACAATTATTTTGGGACGGATCGAAAAGGAAAGCAGGACAATTATTTCGGTACAGAGGGAGTATATTCCCTTCTTATTTAAATATTTAAAAGTTTGTTATTGCAAAAGAAATACGTTTGCATCTCTCTCCTCTCCTCCGCCCAAACTTACAAAAAAGTGTAAGTTTTTCATTCAAAATATTCAATTACTCTATCTTTTTTCTACTTTTTATCTTCCATTTCCTACATTTTAATTTTTTTTCCTACATTTTCTACATTATTGAAGGTTATTCCTAAAATTTTGCTAAATTAAGGCTAATTCTAAAAAATGTGACCACTTTTACATTTGAACAAAAATGTGATTAAAACAAAGTGACAACCAAATATTCATGTCACTACTCCATTTTTTGTCATTGTCATATGTCACTGCTCCCGCCGCCCATGTCACTGTCACCACCACTCGTGTCACTGTTGTCGTCGCCCGTGTCATTGCCACCGCAACCCGACTGCGCCGGCGGCCACAATGACATCTCTACCGTTCGGCCACCGCCTCCAATGGCCACTGTGACACAAAATTACTCCAACCACAACCCCTCTGGTCAGTTACAACCGCCTCCCCGCTGGTGACCACCACACCCCAGTCACTGCTTTTGACCTGCCCCTAGCCCTACACACCAGCTCCCCCAACCCCCAACCCCACTCCTCAGTCCCCACTCTCAGTCCCCAGCCCCCCTCCCCTACTCCCCTGCCCTGATCCCTATCCTCCCTAAGCCTCTCCCCGATCAGTTCACCCAAAAGCTTAGCCAGACCGCACCCCAACAGAGATGGCAGATTTGGCATCGGCGACCAAAAATAGCAGTCGTCGTTCATCAAGGAGGGTAGATCCGGCACTGGCGGCCCTAAATCGCACTCGGCGTCCATACAAGTTGTGGATCCCGCATTTGTGGCCATCTAGGTCGACGGAGAAGGTGGCACAGGCACGACGGAGAGAACGAAAGGGAAGAAGACGCCTTGGAGGTCTTCTCTGTTCGCGAGGTCGGCGAGGACGAGGATCCATCTACGAAGGGTGATGGTGGCGGTGAGATTCATCTGTGGAGGCTATGGCAACAGCTCTTCTCGTTTGCGGAGCCTGGGAGGTCTTCTCTGGTCTTCTCGTTTGCGGAGGTCTTTCGGCGTAAGTGTTCAAGCGCCGGAGGAAAAGGGTAAATGATTATGTCATTTTTTGGTCTAAAAATATTTGGTCATATTTTTGTCCATTCAAAGTTGAGGAGTAATATTTCTCTTGCACATTATTAACCTGATGCAAAACGTCTTACCCTCATGTCAGTGTCCTCAAGCCCAACGCCTTCATGCTTTGCGATCAGGCTTCTCATCCCTTCCTGGACCGAGACCGTCACCTTCAGATAAGAGCCTTCGGTCGTAAGCCTTCGGCCAGGGCCTTCATCATTTAAGGCAAGCTCATTGTCATGTCCTTGACTTAGCGCTTGGCCCTGCCTTCTAGCTCAACGTCTTCAATTTCAGTGTGTGGTCCTCATTATAGTGCCCTCATGCTCATTGCATTCGTGCTCAACGTCTGGTACTCATGCCAGCACCCTCATGCTCAGTGCATGGCTTTCATGCCAGCGCCTTCATGTTCAACGCATGGTCTTCATGCTTCACAATCGGGCTCCACATCCCTTCTTGGATGGAGATAGTCGCCTTCGGATATGAGCCTTCGGCCATAAGCCTTTGGTCAGGGCCTTCTTCATTTCAAGCAGACTCACCGACATGCTAAAAAGCCACACAATGATATTCATAGTCATTATAAATGTAATTGAGTACTGAATGAAGGAGTTGTTTACCAAACATTTCCTTCTCATTCAAGATCTTTGTAGCCAATATTGTCTCGATTTGTCTGAACTTATAAACCTAATTAGAAAATGTATCATCTTCAATCTCGAAAAAAATTTGTTTTGCCAAAAGTTGCTCTTATATTTGTTACTAGTGGTCTTGTAGTCTTTTCCATCAATAGTCACGATGAAACGCCAAATCACAAACAAAAAAACCTCTGTAAGGACATCCTTATATTGTGCCATTTGAAAACTTTTAAGGTGGCGTGAATTCTCTGTCCCTAAGGTATTTTAAATTATTATTCAGAATTTACAAACAAAACAAGCCAATAAATATAACACACGTTACACATTACATTTTTCTAACAATCCAAACATATTTGTATGTCTTTCTGTTACCTCTCTATCATGCAATACACATTCAAGACCCTTGATTCCTACATCATCACCCACATTTTCGTACATCCGAACTAATCGCAACCTCAAAGCCCAATGTGTTGCCTACATGTGGTGTAATGTCCTTCACAAGACCAAAAGTGGGCGACATCTGTAAAATAATATAACCAATTGTTACACATAAAATACTATATTACGTACATAGGAAATAACCAAGATATCATTTGGCGATAACAATTGTTATGCACATCATACCATTTGATTCATTGGCTATCCTTCTAAATATTATGCATCTCAAAGTTGCCTTCGCATTTGGTGATTTGTGTGCACCCACACCCCCTGTTTATACTCGGTTTTATTGCTTGACGGTTTAAAATATTAATTGAATTGAGCCAGTGAACCTAATAATTTACTCTATAAATCTGTAAAGATATCTCAAAAGTTTTTTTTTTCAAATATTAACTCAGCCACTATATTCAAGTCTTATTCTTACAGAAGAAGATAAAGACATGTTGATGCAACTACAAAAAATACATGCAACTCATGCAAACAGTAAGAAATGTGCATTGTACATCTCATGATAAACTCAAGTCTTGAGTCTTGTAATTAAATCTAACCCAATGTTTCTTATCTTACATTGATGTAATTAATTTTTCTAATTGATTAATTGATTATATATAGAAGCTCCTACAACGTACGTTCCCGCCCAAGAGTTCCCTCCCACTATTTTGTTATTATATATAGATTTACCTTCTATTCTTACTCTATCTTCGTCATAGTCTTCCATCACCATCTTCACCTTTATTTTTGTGTGTGCCATAACATATAATGTTTGAGAGCAATTGAACATTAGAAATAGAGCATTGTATGTGCCTTGTTGAAAAGATATTTATAATTTGTTTATAGGAGGAGCCAAATTATAGGTGTGTCGTGTTGAAAAGATATAGTAGAAATCATATCCGCGATATCTTCGATAATTAGCTCAAAGGAGGAGCCATCCATCTCTGACGGAATTTAAGAAATTATATGTATAACTTCAAGGGCTACATTCATATTATCTTAGCTTGGTGTCTTGGCCCAACTCAAATCTTCACGAATGCTGAGAGCTTCGTCCTCTTTAGGAAATAACACAATTCATGATCCACCAAAAGTTTCTTCACTAAATAATTGCTCGCTTTATAAGGATATAGAAGTGGATACAATATATTTGTTTGTATCAGATACCGTTTTATGTGTGGACAATAAATGTGATATACGTAGAGAGGATCAAGTGTATTAGGCTAGAAATTGTAACCAAATATATATGCCTTGAAGTTCATATACAAGAAGGTTATAATGTTGTGCAATATTTGATAATAATTGTCTATTAATGGTTTAACCTATCTTTATTACATTGTTATTGTTTGTCTGATCTTGTAGATTAGTTTGCGTTTGTCAACTTGATTTCCAATTGTAGATACAATACACATGCAATTATTACATTCTCGTGCAACTCATAGGTGAATGACTAGGCTATTTAAAAACACAATTTTATTAGGTGCCACTCTCAGTACATCATATATAAATCTCATCCTCCTCTTTCTTTCTTTCTTTCTTTCTTTCTTGGCTAGGCTAAAGGGTTAAATAGACCCATGTACCCTTCTGATCTGCTCAACTTTCCATTTGAACTCAAATAAGCCCCAATAAGCACTCTGATCTCGATAAAAAGATTCAAATTTTCCCTTTTGCAGGCGGCAATTCGGTCAACGCCACGTCACCCAGTAGGGTGTCAACCGTGCATGTGACATGGCAACTTAAGGTTAGAAATTTTAACCAAATATATATGCCTTGAAGTTCATATACAAGAAGGTTATAATGTTGTGCAATATTTGATAATAATTGTCTATTAATGGTTTAACCTATCTTTATTACATTGTTATTGTTTGTCTGATCTTGTAGATTAGTTTGCGTTTGTCAACTTGATTTCCAATTGTAGATACAATACACATGCAATTATTACATTCTCGTGCAACTCATAGGTGAATGACTAGGCTATTTAAAAACACAATTTTATTAGGTGTACACTCTCAGTACATCATATATAAATCTCATCCTCCTCTTTCTTTCTTTCTTTCTTTCTTGGCTAGGCTAAAGGGTTAAATAGACCCATGTACCCTTCTGATCTGCTCAACTTGCCATTTGAACTCAAATAAGCCCCAATTAGCACTCTGATCTCGATAAAAAGATTCAAATTTTCCCTTTTGCAGGCGACAATTCGGTCAACGCCACGTCACCCAGTAGGGTGTCAACCGTGCATGTGACATGGCAACTTAAGGGGTCAAGTAAGCCCCTGAACTCGATCGAATTGTTCAATTAACCCCCTCAACCCTTAGAAAATCTCAATTTAAAAAAAATACAAAAAAAATCGAAATATTTAATATATATATATATATATATATATATACATATATACATGAAATATTTATAGTTTTCGGTAAATTCAAAATACAAAACAAAATATAAAGTAAAATAAACTCTCTAACTTTATTTCCATAGTTTATAACTACTCGTATATTTCATATAAGAAATAAAAAATGTATTTTTAGTATTTAGCAACTATATATAAATTTTCA